AAGTACCTAAGTGTGTAATAATAATTCTAAAAATAATTGGCGTTGGGGAACTTAGGTTTTTGTGTCGGGGGCTTTTTAAATTTTTTATTTAATTTTTTATTTAATACTTTTCATAGGTACATACTTACTATGATGTAGATTTTGTTAGTAAAAACCTTGGATGGTGTAGCAATTTGTGAGCTCGACCAAAGAAAACTATTTACTTAATAACCCACACGAAAAATCATCTTTAGCAGAATTGCAAAGACTGAGATGTAGTAATTGATACTCTCACTTGACAATCAGATTTCCATGTCCCAATTTTTCCACCACTAATTTTCTCATCTAACGAAGCTGAGGACACTCTCGATTAAGTCATCAATATTCTCTTCAGTGTGCTTTCATTTGAGACCCCACTCGAGTATATTTGCAGACATTTGGTTATCCTACCCTACTTTCACCCCCCACAACTTTTAAACGACTCAACTGATTTTCATCAAACATGTCTAAGAGCACTCGCACATAATAAGTCACCTTTAATACAAAAAAACTAAATTGAAATCGCTTCATCCGTTCGAGAGCTATGATGCCACAAACAGACATACAGACGCACAGACAGACACGTCAAACTTATAACACTCCTCTTTTGGGGGTTGGGGGGCATTGGGGATTAAAAAGCCATCTTTAAATAATTTGGAAAAGCGAACCTATAGAAATTATTTTAAATTCATTGAATTTTTGCTAACATAATAAATCATTTTATTAATAAGCCATTATATATGTATGCATTATTGAGTATAGCATGCAAATGAAATAATAAAAATAATAAAACTTAAACTTTTCTACTCTATTCATGTCCTTTTTTGTTATTAAATAAATAATATCTATCTCTTCCCTATGCTATCAAGAAATAGGCATTCAAATATTTAATAAAATCTTTTATTTCCATACAACTTCCCTCCGCTGTAACTAGGGTGTTACGTACATACATCAGTAATGCATTCTAAAGAATACCTAATTAATGTAATGCTAACAATAATATTATGTGAATAAAGAATCATTCTTACTATTTTATTTGTCGGAGACGAGTCATAATCACAACTAATCGGAACGCGAGCGCCACCTTTTAGGGCTCGACAGAGTCTACGTTGTGACATTCGACCGGGCTCGGCTGAGTTACGCTTGGTCGGTCGCACAGTGAACACTAGTAGAAACTGTCTTGCGTTCCGTATTGTCTATACGTGGTAATAGTGAAGTGAAGTGCTTGCTATATGGTTGTGTAGTGAAGTGCTGTGTAACTATGTACAAAGTGATTATTGTTAATTTGAAATACAACTGTGATTGCATCGACTTTTATTTGAACCAACACTTCCCATATAACGCCCACTGTATAAGTCATGATAAAATAATGGAAAACAATAGAGAAAATTAATGTTGCTTCGATATCAGAAGCGGGATCAGTGTTGGTTTAATTGCAAAAAGAACTAACTCTGCGTGAACAATGACGTGCAATGTTTGAACAACAAAATGTCATTATGTGATCTCTTATCGAGGCCTTGCAAATGCCTCAGATGAAGAAGAACGTCAAGTTACGCGAGTTTGACCCTGACAATATGGATACGGACGCAAGATCTTGATTTGCGACTGTAGATTTGTGTTTTGCCGAATACCCTCCATACGGCGGCTAGCTTATTTTAACAGTCAGTAAGAAATTAAAAGGATAAGGGTCGACGTGGCTATCACAATTTGTATACCAGAGAATAACATAGGAAGAGTTCAAGGTGATTTTCAAGGCGAGATTTATTTCCACCGAGACATTGGCTGGTATGCTAATTAATTTTAACAGTGACAAACCAAATGAAAAAAGTAACTCGTTACGTACGCAAATCGCCTGATGACGTCACTGAATAATCGTTGGAAAGACTCTAGCAAGAATCAGATAGCAATTGCGACTGTCCTTGCTCACTTATGTCAGTTTAATTCGAAATTACAACGATTGGCCTTTACTATGAAAATTGCTTCGCGAGATCGACTGCAGCAGGGATTGCACGCTTTCTCACATTTGAAACGCAAAGCTAGTTTATCTGATGATTTTTCAAAAGTGCCTGATGCTAAACGAGCCAAGCTAATGTTAAAATGTTATAAGTGCAGAAAAGTGAGTCATAAGCGGTCAGAGTGTAGAAGCAAGGTAAATGACAGTGTGGAACGACCTTCGATGACAGCAACGGCATTGCAGCCTGCAGTGAAGTCTCTGGTGTGCTTCAAATGTGGCAAGCCTGGTCACATCACGCTCCGGTGCATAAGTAGTGCCAGTCAAGTGGACGGCAGCAATATGGGTGCAACACGAACGGAACGACGCGTGGATGTATGTGTTGTACAACCATCTTCGAATGCTCAATGGCATAGAGGTAATCTGTATTGCTTTTGTTATAATCGTGGTGCTGAATATTCGTTAGTAAGATAACATTTAGCAGTCAAATTGTGTGGTTAACGATTTTGTCCTTGCAATTTCTTGTATTGATCAAAACAGAATATTCTGCATAGAGTAAAATTTGTTTTGTAACGATTAACGGTCATTCTCTTGAAATCTTTTGAAATTTTATGTTTGCCTAATTATTCGTTACAAACTAGTATCATGATAGAACATGAGATATTGGAAGGTTTCCTATTAACATGACGGCTATAAATTCTTTACACAAAAATTCTAGTAGGTCATGTACCAATAGAGGTTGATGTAAATAATGATCATCATGCCATGCAAATGTTTTAATGAAGTCGATGGAAACCGATGTAAGCATTCTGACGGCCGTAGTTGTGTCGACCGTACTAGTAACTATTACGTAGTCATAGCCTGGTAAAAGTCGGTCTTTTGAGGAAGCTCAAACTAAATAGACCGTGGGTGTGTGATGTGCGTTTAGTTCTGGCGGAGGTCGGGGTCTGTTATGACCATAGTGTGTAGTCACCGAGAGGGTGATACGGTGATCCTGTAGTGGAGGTGTCGACCGTACTAGTAACTATTACGTAGTCATAGCCTAGTAAAAGTCGGTCTTTTGAGGAAGCTCAAACTAAATAGACCGTGGGTGTGTGATGTGCGTTTAGTTCTGGCGGAGGTCGGGGTCTGTTATGACCATAGTGTGTAGTCACCGAGAGGGTGATACGGTGATCCTGTAGTGGATGTGTCGACCGTACTAGTAACTATTACGTAGTCATAGCCTAGTAAAAGTCGGTCTTTTGAGGAAGCTCAAACTAAATAGACCGTGGGTGTGTGATGTGCGTTTAGTTCTGGCGGAGGTCGGGGTCTGTTATGACCATAGTGTGTAGTCATCGAGAGGATGATACATACGGTGATCCCGTAGTGGATGCACCTGGATTGTGGAGCAATTGTTATTGCTGGTTGGCTTGTAAGGCCGTGGCCTAAGAGTGGTTTACAGAGGTGCTAGTAAATTTGAAAATTAGTTTGATTGAAGTGTTGAAAGATGTTGGTACATGGCTCTAGATGAATGACGTTATTAGTTAGATTAGAGATAAATAGTGACTTGGAGTTTAAAAAAAAAAACAAAGGTGTTAGCGTTAAAGTTTTTCGTTAGAATAAAGATGATTTAGATTCAAAGTTAAGTTTTATCTGGTCAGGATTGACCGAGTCGAGCAAGTATTTTCGTTGATTATTTGGTTGCAGGCTAACACACGGCTAACACACGAGGGCGTGTGCATGCAGGATGGCCGTGTCGGAGACGAGTCATAATCACAACTAATCGGAACGCGAGCGCCACCTTTTAGGGCTCGACAGAGTCTACGTTGTGACATTCGACCGGGCTCGGCTGAGTTACGCTTGGTCGGTCGCACAGTGAACACTAGTAGAAACTGTCTTGCGTTCCGTATTGTCTATACGTGGTAATAGTGAAGTGAAGTGCTTGCTATATGGTTGTGTAGTGAAGTGCTGTGTAACTATGTACAAAGTGATTATTGTTAATTTGAAATACAACTGTGATTGCATCGACTTTTATTTGAACCAACACTTCCCATATAACGCCCACTGTATAAGTCATGATAAAATAATGGAAAACAATAGAGAAAATTAATGCTGCTTCGATATATTGTTAATAATTCACAGGAAATATTCTAATTAATAAATAACAATTTAATATAAATGTGTGATGAAAGCCAATATAACTCTTGCCATTGTATTTGATAACTAACTTGTTTAGGTTCGTTTATAAAAATAAACATTGCATATGCCATACAATTTTCCATTGATAAATGAGTGACCACAAAACAATTTATTGCAATTACTGGCACTCATATTATGTATTCTACCAACAATTTATAATGTTTCCGTGTGTAAATAAAAAAATTAGCCGAATCATTGATTAATAGAGCAGAAAAGTATGGGGCCAATTTAACCTTCCAAAGTTGATGTATCCTTCGTTTTCTTAAACTATTTTTTATATATTTAGACTCCCTATCAGTTCCCTTTATAAAAACACTTTCATCTCCAGGAGAAGCATCCTATACATTAAAATGCAGCTAAGCTTAGTCATTTTCAAAGATAAATCAGGCAGCTTACTTTAAGTAGGTAGAGATTATTATAATTAGATGGTTAAAATTTATTCATAATTTAAATGTACAATTAATATTTTCTAATAGGTAGATAGTTTATGTTAGTTAATCAGTAGTTCTGGAGTGTTTACCTACATATTAATTATAAGTTTTATTGGTATTAAAATTTATGTACATGACTAATAATGATGTTCTAGAAAACAAAACAGTTTCAGTATCCTTGTTTGTTAAAAATAAACAATATAGCATTACAATAATATAACGTCTAGGATATTTTATTTATGTATATAATCATAATTATACCCATTTTATATTTATGTAAATACCTAATTTAATTCCATATTTAAAATAGGTACATTTAGAAACAAAAAATCTTATGGCCTAACCTTAAGGCTTAAAGTTTGAGAAAATAATTTAGTTATCATATGACAGTTAAAACAAAAGAAATACATGAATAATCTTACCCTTGAAAATGTTCGCAAACGATTGATACGAGGATTTGAAGGAATATTGTTGAGAGACACTTTAGACATTTTCGATTTAAGTCCACACTAAGTGACAGAAAGAAAACTACTGCACTGCAGCAAACCGATAAAATCAAGACGATTAATATCTAAGTCACTCTTCAAATTACAAACATCTGTACATCTAACACTTATTTTATTGTTTTAAATTCAGTTCTGACAGCACAAACATCAATTATGCCACCCCATAACGGTAACCTTCAAGCAAGAATAAACAATTTTCTATGGTATTAAAGAAATGACTTATTTTTATTTATTAATTCTTTGTAAGGTACACTGGAATTAATCATTTAGGTTTACCGTAAAATTTAATATTATTTTGTTTAGCATAGCAAGGTTGACAGTACGCTTACGAGATCTGCGATACGTTTCGTTTTACACGCGAGCTATACGCATCACGCTTAAACCTATAACCACTCGTTGTGCCGTCAGTCCGACAACTGTCAAACAGCAAACTGATAATAATAATATGTACTTTGCGCCAAGTGCGTAGGAATGAGTCAAGCCCGCGAATATTGTATTTACATTTCTTGAAATTATGGATAATACATAATAATTCACCCTCGCTTTACTTGAGTCGGCCTTTTGCTTTATAATATAAAATAAGTCTCTCACAGTGTAAACTGTATAAATATTTATAAATATATTCCCGCGTTAAAAAGAAGCTTACTTAGGTATTTACTCAAAGCCCTCCCACAATCTCCGAAGAAATCCATAGCAATTCTTTCGTAGGTATCTATAAGTTAGGTGTATTATAACGTTCATAATATATTCCAATTTCCCTTGAGAATTAGATATCCCGTTGTAAAAAGTAACTTAAAATTTAAATGTCACTACAGTCTACAGCCCTACAGGCTACAATGGGGAAGATTTCTCAAAAGGAGAGCGCCACACGTATGGCCTATTTACATTCAGTCTGAAGTTAAGCAATTAATTATATCTCTTATATTAGACCGCTTTTAAAAGACAAAAACTGAAGAAATTGTGGGCTAAAGCAATAAGATGATTAATCCCTCCACGACCGCGGACACGCCGGCGTTACATTTTACAATAGATTTCTTAGAAATTTAATTAATTTCTTAAAAATTTACCTGGTGGTGTTAAAATTGGCAAAGTCACAATCTTTATACGTAAGGCTATGTGGACGTCATATTGTAGGAAGTGATTATAAAACTCTTAAATCATTTATCGTTTACAAGTGTTTTTTTTTTATTTTTTGTTTTTTTTTTACATATTAATTACAGAGTTTCATACAAACTTTCATCCCCCATTTTACCCCCTTATGGGATTAAATTTCGAAAAATGCTGAAACACGTATTTATGTAATTGTATTGTAGAGTATTAATATCAAGTGTCATGTGATTCGCTTGATTATAAATAATTCTTTGTCCATATAAACTTTATTACCCTTTTTTACCCCTTTAAGGGATAAATTTCAAAAAAAAACAGTTCAATAGGTACGTATATTTCTTATTTTTTATCTTAAAGCTAAACACCACTTTCTGTGTATTTCACATTAAGAATGACAGAGTTTCATACAATCTTAAATCTCCTATTTTACCCACTTAAGGGATGAAATTTGAAAAATCCTTTCTTATCGGATGCCTACGTCATATAAGAAATACGTCCTGAGTCCTCAAAATTTCACGTCTCTACGACCAGGGGATTAGACTGTGTGTTGATCCATCAGTCAGTCAGAACCAGCGCAGGATGCACGTCTCCTTCTCAACTCTTCCGTAAGCTGGTCTAATGTTCAAGTAACATCAACATTGCATAGGTAAGACGCGAACATAATAGAAGCAAAAGCCAGGTACAAAATAGATATCATAATAAATTGTTTCACCTCAGACTGAAAGTAAATACTTATAATAATCATACATATTGCACCCTCTTTTCAAGAAATTTTCCCCATTACGGTCTGCTAATTCATATATAATCTTTTATATTTATTTTAATTATTATATTATTTTAATTTGGTAATATTCGTAGACTTAAGACGTTCGGTAAAAGAATTGTAAAATTGTAATAATTTAATGCTAAAATAAAATATTTAAAATTTAATAGATATTTCATAAATGCTTGTCACCTAATAGCAAGCAAAACTGACTGAAAAATATACATGTACATATCGTTAAAAATATGTTATTATTGAGTAGTTTTATAATTTTATTAATTACATCAAACCATTGGGAATCCCAATGTGGGATAAAATATTATACATAAAAAATTATAAGCCTGACGCCAGGAGTTTTTATTAATTAGATTTATCGAAAATGTTATCGCTTCAATCTTCACGCAAGAGAAATATATTTTAAATTGTAACATCTATACATATAATAAAATTGTAACTAAGTCAAATCTGTACATTAAATATTTTTTGGAAAATCTTATTGAAATAGACATTATTATCGATACAGAGGCTGAATCTATAGTTTTTAGAATTTTTGTCTGTCTGTCTGTCTGTTACCGCATCACGGAAAAACCACTGGAGGGATTTTTACCGCGGAAAAATATCGCATTTCTGAGAAAAAATACAAAAACTGCAATGTAAGAGTATACTAATATGTAAAACCTAAGAATTTGGTTTTCGGTCATCTGAACGCGGGCGGAGCCGCGGGCAATGCTAGTTATTTTATAAAAAGTAATTCTTATTTTGTATTTTCTTCCATTTGACTAGCTAAATATAATTGTTGGTTAACTACTATAAGAATACAATTACATTTAATGTTATATACGTACATACGTACGTATAAATGTTTTATATATGTATCATTTTGCTACATTTATCATTTGTAATATATAAAAAATCTAATATAAAATAAAAGAATTTTAACAGATGTACAGTTATCCATAGTTATTAGTGTATTATAATATAGGTGACAAATCACATTTATAAAAAGTTGCAATTATTTATTTGTAGGCGTTAAACGCCTACACATATATTATGTATGTAAAGTATTTTAATTAATATTAAAAATATTAGGTTATTCCCTTATATTTTTTCATAATTTATTGTTGCAAGCTTACACAAAGCTTAAATAAAAAGATTACTTAACACTGCTGCAGGTTTGTGACATAAAACCTAGCTCAATAATATATTCCTATTTAAGTGCTTACCAATGAATTTTCAGTAGGATTGACATGTATGCGGGGTTCTTCATCGTCATCTTCAGGCGTTACTTCAGCGCCAGCGATCTGACCCATGTTTGGTGACTATTGGCGTTTAAACGCGGCGCGTGGCCGCCAGCCGCCACGCGTCCTTCGCGCGAACGGTGCCGCGCCGTTGTGTTCGCTTACACAGGTCTATCAGGGACTAGGGATTAGACCTGCTACGATCGATGAAAATTTTGATTATTTTCATTGCTTTTTGGGTAGGAAGTTGAGACCATTAAGCAATAAGTAACTCTACTCTAACTCTAAGACACAAAAACCATAGGAACCAATAAAAAAACCTTTAAGACACAACATCTCTTAAAAAGTAATGTATTCTATCCCTGAAAACCAGTTTTAATTTTCAAGTAATTGTAAATTAGTTTAAAAGTTCTTTTGAAGTCAATTACTGATTTGAGTTGGTCAAGTGACGTCACAGGTTGCTATTACCATTTAAAATCTATGGGGGAACCGGAATAGCGTTTTGAAGGCTCATAAAAAGTACATGTCAATAGAATGGATGTATCAACTACCCCATTCTTAATGTATGACAGTGAATAACTAATTCACATGCGACTCTTAAAAGTTAAAACAATCAGAAATTCTTTACTAGCTCTACAAAAGAATTCACCGTCTATTCACACTGATGCAGAATCAGTTTATTATTTTGCTAGCTGAAAAATAGTGCGTTACAATTTCAATATTACAACTACTGATCTTGATTGATACATTCTAGTATTTATTTTTTTGTTCGTTAAAATTTTAATTAATATGTATATATATACATATTGCAAAATCTACTTTAAAATAGATTTTACTTATGATATACATAACAATTCCTAATGCCATCATCAGTTGAGAAAAAAATTAATATCATCATTTCATTTCAGTAACAACTAGCGAGCGACTCACCCTCGCTTTGCTGGGGTTCATCCCTAGGTACGTTTTAACGGTCAGTATGAAATACAAATCTTGGAATTTCTCGGCTTTTCTGTACTATAATATGCATGTACTATATACATATAAACATTCCTCTTGAATCACTCAATCTACTGCTGAAAACTGCATTAAAATCCGTTGAGTACTTTAAAAGATCTAAGCGAACAGACAGCGAAAGCGACTTCCTTTTATACTACGTAAAGACAATTAAAAATAAAATTGATAATGTGACAAAAATATTATTTTATATGGTATATACTATATCGTCGTAAAAATAAACGATTTAGGTACATATTACACAGAATCACACAACAAAAACTTAATCTACCTTTTATTACTTCCCCTTTAGATTAAATATTAGATTTTTGTAATTTATTGTAAAACACCTCGATATTAAGGATTGACATCCCTATTGCGAAGGCGGTCGATACAGCAGGCGCAAGTCCAAGCTCAGCTGAGACCTCTTGACAGCTTGAAAGCTATTTAACATTAACAGTCTTAAAAGTACTGTTATTTGCAATTCCAAATTAAATGATATGTTTGCTGTAGTTATTCAATTATTATCATATGTTTTTACTTTTACATTAGAGAAATAGTTGGGTATATAATGTCTTGTGCTTTCTAAGTATCATTTGCAGTTCCATTTAAATGGAAAGTTTTGATTATTAGATATTAGTAAACTACATTCTTATTAGAATAATTTCTTATATTTTTTATTCCTTCTCTATCGGTTCCCTGTAAGAGATCGGTTATGAATGATAATGCCGCCTTTGCACATCTGTTTAATTATATTTCTTTTTTTGTATGTATCATTCTACTGTGCAATAAAGTGTTTAAATAAATAAATAAATCGCTTCCATTTCATCACTTGCCCTTATTACTTATATGTATAACATGAAGATATGTACAAGTGACTAATT